AGCTGGTTAATTCTCTAATGTTTTTCCTAGGCTGCTAGCTCAAGCCACCTTTGAATCATGATCCATCTTCCTGATCTAGCAGAGTAGCTGAGATTATAGGATTAAGTTATTGTATCCAGCAGGTTTATTTATCTTTAATATATTTAAATGTAATTGTTCAATATTATAAGTGGCTGGTGACTACAGATTTTTAAGCTTAGGTATAGTTTTTAACTCTTTTATTGAGAATTATCTTTCCTTCCACATGTCTTTGGAGAGTTATTTGGCATATTCCATTCTACCACATTGTACCAAGGTATAAATGTTTTTTTATGTGAGAGAAGTATAATAGTTCTTCAGGCTAAGAAATCCTCTGTGTTTTCAACACCAGGAAATTCTTGACTATTAATTCTTTGAACATTGCTTTTCCCAATTTGCCTCCACTATTTCTTATGCAAAAGCTCAATAATGAGACAAATATATTACTTGTTTGTTTTGATGGGGATTGCTCTCATAACTCACAAATAATCACACAGAGTTTTATTTATTATCTGTTCATATGTACATTATTCTTTGTTAATCAAATACCTCAAAATATTACAGTTCTTCACATTTTTTTTGTAGGTAGTGGGGCTTGGGTGCTGTCCTTGCACTCTTCAGCTCAAGGTGAGCACTCTACCGCTTGAGCCACAGCGCCACTTCTGGTTTTCTAGTGGTTTATTGGAGATAAGAGTCCCACAGACTTTCCTGCCTGGGCTGGCTTTGAACCATGATCCTCAGATCTCAGCCTCCTGAGTAGCTAGGATTACAGGCGTGAGGCACCAGCGCCTGGCTCTTCTTTATCTATTTTTATATTTATTTGTATAAATGCATAACTATATAAATTATATATATTATGTAAATATACTATATTATATATAATAAATTATACTATAAAATATATGATATATAAAATGATAAACATATAAATATATTATAAATATTAAAATATATAAATTTTTTTTTTGGTCAGCCATGGGGCCTGAACTCTGGGCCTGGGTGCTATCCCTCAGATCTTCAGCTCAAGACTAGCAGTTTATCACTTGAGCCACAGGGCCACTTCTAGCTTTTTCTGCTTATGTGGTGCTGAGGAATTGAACCCACGGCCTCATGCATGCAAGGCAAGCACTCTACCACTGAGCCACCTTCCCAGCCCTTATTTTTATATTTTTATCTTTATTATTATAATTCTTTAAGCACTAGACAATAAAAGTAAATAGAATTTTTTTATTATTTTCTTATTCTCTTTATTGTTTTTCAACAGTTTGTTTATCACATTTTCATGGTTTGGATTTAACACACAGAATTTCCTGACTGTAATGATTTCATATAGCAAAGTACATTTGGTTAATATAAAAATGTCTTTGCCTTAGATTTGATTTTTCCTAGACTTCTATTTAATAAATGTTCATGTATTTGTTCATTTTATTTTGTTTTCTTCTAACCAAATAATCAGTCTTTTCATCTTCAGTGTCACTGTAATACTACATTGAGTAAGTTAAAAAAAAACATGATCCTCTATTAAACTCAGTTTCTGAGTATTTGAATGTTGAAGGAAAGATAAGAGCAATAACATTTATCACCTAAATACTTATTGTTCTGCTGTATGTCTACTTCAAAAGTACATAATGCTGCTCAATGTTCTACACTTTTCTTTTCTTTTCTTTTCTTTTTGGTCTGGTCATGGGGCCAGAACTCTGGGTCTGGGCGCTATCCCTCAGCTCTTCAGCTCAAGACTAGCACTCTACCACTTGAGCCATAGCACCACTTTCGGCTTTTTTTTTTCTGCTTATGTGTGCTGAGGAATCGAACCCAGGGCCTCATGCATGCAAGGCAAGCGCTCTACCACTGAGCCCAGCCCAACTTTTTATTGCCTCACTTATAGAACATGATGTTGAGTGAATGTTCTCCTCGGTGAATGCTTAGTGAATAGTGAGACAGGAACAGGTTAGGAAAAATGTAGGAGTTAAGAGTTTAAAACTTGGATCAAAATCCCTCACGACTTTCTAGATGTTTGAGCTCTACAATTCCTTTAATTTTATCCAATTTTATATATCTCACAAGTTAGATTAGAATAACATCGGCTTCCCAAGGTCATTGTAATTATTAGGAATGCACAAGAATGAAAGTCTGTATATGAAAAGGAGTTACAGTAAATCATGACTATTGTTAGCAACATTTAGTTAATTCCAGTGGTTTTGAGACCCAAGAGTTCACCTGTTGGGTTAAAAGAAGTTGATGAGGAGGCATTGAAAGCCCAGTTTATGGTAATCCAAAATCAATTATTTGCACTGCATTGGTAAAATAAAATGCGTTGTGATTTTTATAAGGATAGAAGACTGTCAGTTTGTAACCAAATTGTTATATCAGGAGCTCATTATATACTATAATTTGATATGTTCTAAATCGAATTATAATTGTTAATGTGAAATTCGTTTTTATTATATATTTGTATGAATGTGTGCGTATGTGCGTGTATGCTACAATACATCCTATTTCCCAAGTTTAAGAATATGCATTCTTTTCTGGATTCTGAGAGGACTTTTTGACAGAAATGACAGACCACTTAGTATACATATTTGTGGATATTATCATTAGAGTTACATAAGAATATATACATCCTGGATATGTACATTCTGCTTTCAAAAGTCCTAGTTCCCATTTTACATTAAAGTCAGAGTTCTTGCAAAAGTAGATTGATCCCATATCTACCCACTCATCTGTCTCTAGTTGTTAATGTATAAAGAACTGGAAGACAATGCCAGTATTGTAAATTCTTTTTTTTTTGTCGGCCATGGGGCTTGAACTCTGGGCCTGGGCACTGTCCCTCAGCTCTTCAGCTCAAGGCAAGTGCTCTACCACTTGAGCTACAGCGCCACTTCTGGTTTTCTGGCACTGTCCCTCAGCTCTTCAGCTCAAGGCAAGTGCTCTACCACTTGAGCTACAGCGCCACTTCTGGTTTTCTGGTGGTTTATTGGAGATAGGAGTCTCACCGTCTCTCCTGCCTGGGCTGGCTTTGAACTGTGATCCTCAGATCTCAGCCTCCTGAGTAGCTAGGATTACAGGCGTGAGCCACCAGTGCCCAGCTCAGTATTGTAAATTCTTAAACAGAAACTCAGTAAGGCCACTGTTTCATATAATATAACCTCAGAGAAGAGACAAAATGAAACTTAATATAATGAATGATTGTGTCCATGTGTCTCAATTACTTAGCAATCAGTTATGAGCTGCATGGGCAGGAAGGTATATTCCAACACTCTAAGTAGTTAAAAGTTCCATTGTGGTTCTAATTGCCTATTTAATTCCTTGAATACCAATGTGCAATTAACATTACAAATAATCAAGGTTAAAAATATAATTAATGCAAGTGTGATTTAGTTATAATTAAACCAATTACACAGATATGTAGCATAATAAGGGACTTGCCGACCATTATGTGGATGCAAATTTATTCATCCTTTCAAGAGCAGCTATTTGAATTTCATTTTCTAATTATTTTTTACAAATGATGAAATGGAATAATAAAGGAGAAAATCAGTCTTTTGGGCAATGCAAAGGTAAATCATGATTTTTTCATTCTTTTCAAAGTTCTGTCTATTTGGTCCATATGCACTTGTAAATAAAGAAGTCAGTGAGGAGAAAATGTAGGTATGTCCACAGTCAACAAAAATACCTGACTTCTCACTTTTGTTACTATAGGAAAAAAAATCACTGACAGGACAGCAAAGAGTGAGTCAATTGCTAATGTGATTTCCTTTCAGAATGGTAAGATAATAGGCCCAACAAGATTTATATACATGAACCTCAAATATTCACTTAACCGATGCGTTCTATTTCTATCCTTGAGCCTCATTATGTGTGAATGTTGCTTTCACCCACTGGCATAAACCAACAAAGTGATCAGCATCAATGTATTCTCTGCACACAGACAGCAATAGTTATTGCCATGGATGTGCCTGTAGGGAATCAGGAGAGGAGATATAGTCAAGAGGGCCATGCAGGGCTAACTCTGGATATAGCTGATCTCCACAGCTGGGCTCAGGCAGCCTCTGTATGTGCCCGTGTAGAAAACAAAGGGAAGCATGACTTTTCTACTCCTCTACATAGGACATGGGGCTTTTATGGTGAGCACTGCTTCTAGCCCCAAGTAGCCATAACTTCCAGAAAGGTGAAGTTTGAGTGAGAAAAGGAAGGTTACTACCTGATCCCTTATAACCATACTTGAAGCTCTGCCTAGCAGACACAATAGAGGGCCTTTTATTTCCCATTCACTTGAGTTATGTACAAAACATCACTGATGCATTTTGATGCTTTCAATGGTTTTGTCACAATATCTCTTGGGCAAATGGTTAATAAGAGTTGAGCACCATTCATTGCTCCTTTGTAGCAATACTCACAAGACACGATGTTGGAAATCAACCTTACAACTTGGGAGGAAGGGGAGTGGGAGAGAGGGAAACTGGGAGAAAATGAGGCAGTGGGTAGCAATGTTAGACAATAAATGTACTCATTACCTTACCTATGTAACTGTAATCCCTCTGTAATCCCCTTACAATAAAATAAAATTGAAAATTAAAAAAAAAGAATAGACAACTAGCCAGGTGAAGTAGCTCACTAGCTATTTAGGAGGCTGTAATCTAGCTATTTAGGAGGCTGAGATCTGAGGATTGCAGTTCAAAGCCAGCCCAGGCAGGAAAATCACTGTGAGAATCATATCTGCAATTAACTACTCAAAAAATCAGAAGTAGACCTGTGGCTCAAAATGGTAGAGAATGCTAGCCTTGAGCAAAAGAGCTCAGTGACAGCGCTCAGGCCCTGAGTTCAAGCCCTACAACTTACAGGGAAAAAAATAGGCAACTAGAAGGAAACTCAGGAGGAAAAATGGTGTTTCTAAATCTTTACTCCACAGACATGAGGGCATTCTAGGGACTCTTGGGCTTATTATTTTATTTAGTAGGAAAGTGATTTAGTTTAGATCATACCCCAGGGGTGTCCGGATGACAGCACGTCCTGAGCTCGGATGAATTTCACCATTCAACATTTTGAACATAGTACTCTTCCCAGCTCCATTCACCCCGAGGAGCCCAAAACACTAAAGGAAAAAAAATAAAGTTCAATGAAACATGATAATACACCTAAAGTGACTTTGGAAACATCACTTTAGTTGAGTCAACTTTGAGAGAATACTGTGCTATTAAGCACACTTTGAACATTATTGTACAGTGTGATTTTATAGATTCTACATATTCTTCATTACTTTACGGGTTAAAAGCTATTTCCAGAAACATCATGGAATTGGAATATGAAAATGTTAGCATTCATTTACAGACAAATCCATGCATGGAAAACTGAACAGAATGAGAATTGTAAAGTACCTCAAATTAAGCAGAAAATTATACGTCTTTGAAAGTCATCACATCATTGGAGTAGATATTTTCCTGCTGCTTCCGTTTTTGAACATTTTAAATTACTTTCTAAAAATATTCCATTTCAACCTTCCATATGTAAGTATATATACCCATATGAGTTTGAGCGTGTTGTATGTGTGTATTTGTGGGTGTGTGCAGCAGTTGTATTTCTTCCTTTTCCATTGAAGAGGTGGTAAAATTTTCCAACTCTGTGCCTGGAAGAATGCTGATATGAAGGAGATTACTTCTAGTTTGGCATTCTGACAATTTATTCTTGGTTTAATCCTGTTTTCTATTCCATGTAAAAGATGACCTTTTGCTCCCATTTCTAGGCTTAGTGTCTATCTTATACCTCTGCATATACTTTGCAAGTTTCTACCCTGGGACCCAGGTCTTTGATTCATTCCAATCTCCTTTGAAGATGTTCATTTTCTGAAGTCTAGGAGCTGGTGTCTGCTGGTATAAACTGGCTTCCTGTTTTCTTCTCTCTCTCTCTCTCTCTCTCTCTCTCTCTCTCTCTCTTTTGGCTTTTCTTATAACCTGGAGAGTGGATTCTGGATTCTGGATTCCGCCTGCCAGTGGCATAATCCTGCTTCGTGTCTCTGGATATTACATTGGCCACCTAGTTCAATCACCATGTTTTTCAGTTTCCCTGTATCTTACCCATAATGGGTGCATCTCACTCTACTCCCGTCCTGTGCCACTGTTGTCAGACATAGTATACCTGAGTTGGACATGCCAAGATACACCAGCAATAGCCTATCAAAATCATCAGACACACCTGCCTTCTTCCTTCCTATACCATCTCTGCACGTAAAGCACCAAGAACAATACCATGTGTATGCTTTATAATTTTATCTTGATATGAGACAATGCTTATGCTCCTGTAGAACACCGTGTAGGCTTATGGTCAAAGTACTTATTTCAGTCATTTCTTTATTTTTCACAGGCTCTTACAAAGCACTTCCCATCTGGACTATCAAATAGTGATGCTCATAAATGCTTAGAGAAGAGAACTTAGTGTACATTTGTTCTTTAATGTTTCAAAGGTCCAGGTGTTGAAGGAGGATCCCTAAGCCATGGTATGAATGAGAGATGGTGGAGCCTTTAGAGGATGAGGCCTACTGGAAAGTTTCAGTTCACTGGGGGTACTGAAGGGGATGTTGAAATCAGACCAGATCCCCTTTCCTCTCATCTTAGCACCAGTTATGAGATGAACAGCTCTTTCTGCCACACGCTCCTGCCAGGATATCTGTGAGATGATATTCTGAGCCACCAAAGCAATGAGGGCCAATGAGTCATGAAGGGAAACTGCCAAATCTACAATCTAAAAGGAATCTTTCCTCCTTACAATTTGATTGTCCCCAGTGTTTCCTTACAATAATGGGAAAGTGACTAATACACACACACACACAAACAAATTTAAATAGCATCCCAGATACATAAAATTCAAGTTTTTCTTTTCATTCTTAGTTTAAAACTACTACAGAGAAAAAAACAATTAAAAATTAATATTGATGTTAATTGACTTTGAAACAGGGGTGAAATTTTTCCTAAGACAAATACAGTTACACAACTAAAAGCAGCAGAAATAATAGCCACAAAGCCAAATATATCTTTAATATTTTGTTATTTTCTGCTGGAAATCATGATTGTGGGCATTAGGAAATCCCTTGATTGCTTCAAGTTGATTTGCTGGATTTTCTTTCACTTAGGATGATCATCCATGGGATAAATACTCTTAGTTCACAGGGAGAGTATGACTTTCAATCAGAAAACAATATAACATACTTTGAATTTCTCAGGAGCTTGAAACAATACACATACAAGGTGTTCTTTTTTTCTCAGTTAATTAAATGTAATCATTTCCAAGGTTGATTTCCTTTTGTGTATTAAGTACAAATCAAGAACAATTTATACAGCTTCTGTCAGTTCTAATTAAAGATTTCTACTAGAATTAATACCATGCTCATGAGAAATGTCCCCTGCTGTGGCTATGAGTATTGAACTTACCAGAGCAGCATAGTACTGAATACTAAATGGACCTAACTGGGCACTCAAAGCAAACAAGGTTGGGTAAGAGGAAGAATTTCTTTAACTAGCTAACTATACAGATATATAATATAACCACATATAAATATATACATATTATACATTTATAAATAAATAATATTTTCATATATTATATATCTATAGTTACATATGTATATGTTTATAATAAGTATTAGATATATTTGTAAATATATTAATATTTAATAATTTATAAATAAACACATCATCCTGCAACACAACTCTTAAAAATCCAAAGTCAGCTGATATTTTCAAAATTATGAAAAAGAAAAAAAATTGTGAAACAGGAGATGGAGGTATAACTCAGGTGATAGAATGCCAGTCTTGAGCACAAAAGCTAAGCAAGAGTGTAAGGCCCTGAGTTCAAGTCCCAGTATAGAAACAAAATCTGCTGTTGATTAAGTGGTCACTCTTTGACTATGCAAAGAGCCAAGAGACTTTTTTTGTCAGTCGTGGGGTTTGAACTCTGCACCTGGGTATTGTTCCTGAGCTCTTCAGATCAAGGTGAGCAATCTACCACTTGAGACACCGTGCCACTTCCCAATAGACTTTTATTTCATCTCAGTTTCTGTAACTTTGTAAGAAGGCTGCTTTTAGATGTGAGTGCAGACATTCTGAAAATACTACAAGCAAATCCGTTCTTAGAGTTTCATGGGTTCACAACAGAGCAAAGCTAAAGCAAAATACTTCTTTACCTCTCCTTTGGGTATTCCCACAGTAACATCTTCCACAGCAGTGGTCTTTTTGAAAAGGCTTCTGTAACTTTTATTAAGGTTATATAATACAAGGATGTCCCCACTGGTCCTTCCTTCAAACACTCTCGTTTGCTCTTTTTCCACATCTCTATCCTTTGAAAACTTCATGGTATGTTTGAGGACAGTGTGACCCCTTTGAAAATAAAGAGAGGATCAATTGACACCTAAGCAAGTACACTGTATTAGAGAGATTTATGAGGATAGAAACAGAGCACATTGGCTCTTTCTAGGGCACCTCAATCTTGACATCCTGATTAGCAGAAAGAGTCAACCTTCATTCCTTAATTTAAATCAAATATACAAGTTAATAAAAGACATTGAAGTACATCTATCCAAAAATGATGTTTTTGATTCTATGAAGAACAAAGTTGTTTGGGACTTCATGCTAGATGTAAGAAAAAAATCAGGCTGGGAAAATGGCTCAGTGGTAGAGCGCTTCCCTTGCATGCATGAGACCCTGGGTTCGATTCCTCAGCACCATGTAAGCAGCAAAAGCCAGAAGTGGCACTGTGGCTCAAGTGGTAGAGTGCTAGCCTTGAGCTGAAGAGCAGAGGAACAGCCCTCAGTCCCAGAGTTCAAGCCCACGACTGACAAAAAAAAAAAGAAAAAGAAAAACAATCATCCCATCATAATAAATTATCAATTTTAAAGGTACTTTAAATGGTTTATTTGGTAAAAGAACATATACAAAAAACACCCAAATATGATAAGCTTATGGTATAAGTTGAAAAGAATTCAGTAATCAGTCAGCATTTTGTACAAGTCTTCTATACTGTAGTAAGATAGCATCTACCATTCTAAATCTGAGCTACACATTCCTCATTATGACTTTTAATCTGGTGTATTGTTTTTTCTTTTGTTATTAGTACTAGGGCTTCAACACAGCCTGGGTACAGTCCCTCAGTTTCACTCTAGGGAAGCCTTCTGCCACTTCTGGCTTTTTGCTAGTTAATTTGACATTAAGAGAATCATGGGATTTCCTACCTGGGCTGGCTTCAAACTGTAATACTTATAGCCCAGCCTCCTGAATAGCTAAGATTACAGGTAAGAAATGCCAACACCTGGCTAATCTGGTATATTTTAACTTTTACGTTAATTTCATTTCCCCTGTAACCCACAGATTAAATAACTACTCCTGAGTAAGTGTTATACCAATATCCACTACCTTGTTTTCACATGCAATATTGTGAAAAAAATCACATTATTAGGTAGGGAGGTGGGTAAAGGAGCCTAATTGTGCAATCTTTTGCAATTTTTAAATTATGTCAAAATAAGTAGGTATTAAAATCCAAAGACATAGCATCACCCTCAGCCATTCTATCTCCACTAAATGTATTAGTTTTCTATATCTGAAGTCACCATTTGGCATTTTTAAAAGTATATTACTTCAGAAACATTATGAATAAGATAACTAGATGTGCAAAAGTATATGTCACCATTGTGACGTATGTAATATGTTGTTCATGTCACATTTGAAAGTATGAGAAAGACTCTGATGAGGGGGTACCAAAGGTATTATCAACATTCAATTCATCCATCTAAGAAGGGTTACAGGATTGTCATCAATTTGTACAAATCCATCACATTTTGTATTTTTCTGCTTCACAGTATTTGTTTTCTCAGATGACCCTCCACCCTATGCCAGCCTTTCCAATGTCCTTTTTCATTCTAACAGATCATGTCTTTGTGTCCTCCTCTCCTCCATTTCTACAGTACCCCCACACCCATAATTCTTTTCTTCATGTAAATTAACTGAGATGCTTTTACATAGCTCCTGATTCTCAGCCAGAGCTACTCATCTCAGGGCTCCAGTGAGGAACTCAGCTATACATATCTGTTTAAATCTCTTTGATTCATTCTGGTGGATGGAGAATGTGTGACTGAGATTACTTCTTGTGGAGGTCCTTCCCAACAATCCACACTCCTAGTACCTCCAACTCTGCTCGGCCATGTGCCACTCAGCCATCCTCCCACTGGCAATCACAACAAATGGCGCTTATCCTGCAGAAGAAGGATCCAGATGGGCCTTGGATATAGCAGACGTCCCCAAGTATCAGCATACCTAACATCTGGGCCACCTTCCTGGCTGTTGTGCCTCAATCAGCACAAGATACTGAGAGCGTCTCTTCTCCAGAAATGAGAGGACAGAACAGGTGCAACTTCCCCAAACCACCCAACCTGGGGAGCAATAGGACATGGCTGGGATGCTAATAGAAACCTGGATTCTTTGCCAACAACTAAAAACCAGCACAAGATTTCAGGTGGGTGCCAGCACATGAGAAGGGCAGTTGTGAAGTGGGCCCCACAATACTCTCCCTTCTAGTGCTGGTGACTTCCATGCTGCTTGGATGGGGAAAGCAGTCTCTGTCTGAACCCTGTGCATGAAGCTGGGTTTTCCTATTCTCTTCCAAGATTCAACCGAGAATACCATAATTTTCCTGCAGGAAGGGGTTTATCATCAGGTTAAGATCATTAGGATATAGATACTATAGATATGTCCTCATTAAGAAAGAGATGGTTATGGGAAGCTGAGAAGTCCAGCTGATAAGGCAACTAGGGAGAGAGGTGTGCTGGTAGCAAAGTGAGAGAAGCAGAGAAGATGGAGGCACAGTTCTCCATGTGGTGTGGAAGGAAGGGTCAGGGAGAGCTTTACTGAATACAGCTTGTCAGGCTTAGAGGGCATTGCTACGAAACTTGGACTTAACCATTTTGAAGAGGAAGCAATACTAGGGTTTCAATTCAGGGCCTCACCTCTTATGAGCTATTACTTGAGATAGTCCATCAGCTGGTTCTTTGCTTCTTGAGTCTGGCTTGGAACCACAATCCCCCAAATCTCAGCCTTGTAAGTAGCAAGAATTATAGGCATAGGGCACCCATGTCCAGATGCACTTTAATATATATATATAATTATGTATATTTGTATATAATACATAATAATTATATATAATAACAACTATACATAGCTATTAGTTATCATAAAGGGGATGTACAGAGGGGTAACATTACACAAGTCAGGTAATGAGGACTTTTCTTTTTGAACAGTGTCACTCCTTCCCTCATTCTCTCCCAGTTTTTCCCTCGCACCTCAACCCACAAATTGTATAGCTCAATTTCAACAAAGTATCAGGTGTATCACTGCTGTATTTATTCACCCTTTTTTCCCACCCTTTCTATGCCCCAGACAAAAGGAAAAGAAAACAAAACCAGCAACAAAAAACCCTCTTGTTTCTATTTCCATCATTTTGTATGATCAAATGCACATAAGCAGTGATTAGTAATCTCTCTCGAGCTGGACTTGAATACAAAATAGACTGGGTTCCATGATCACTGTGATGGTAATCTTACAAGATCACCCACCGACTGGTGTCGAAGCTAAATTATGTTTCTGTGTTTTACATTGACATGCAGCAAAAATGACTACTGAAGATATCAAAGACATTACTCCAAATCCAGTTCAACTAGTATGCTCTATAAAGTCAAGGTAATACAGCAAGAATTCTTATTGAAGTCTTTTGGTACAGTAGGACGTAACCTGAAACGTGCCAGAGGGGATTCTGCATTACAGGTTTTAAAGCAGATTGAATCAATAATGGATATCACAGAATTAATAATGTTTGAAAGGCACTGAGGACTCTTGCCTGAATTTGGTAAGCTATTGGTTATCTACAGATTCCCAGAATAATTATGGCCAAATGCAAAAGACTTTTGGGATTTGCATTCAAAATGGATTTCTATGTTTGCAGCTTTAAAAAGTTATGAAAGGAAAGGTTGTCATGAAAAATGGAAAAGGAAAAATTCACAAAAGAATCATTGTAAAAGATTAATAACATGGCATTACATCTTTAATAGGCTCTCCAGCAAGAGGGTCGTAAAATTTTTCTCCCCATAGAATCCTTCTCTTTGGGCTGGGAAGGTGGCTCAGTGGTAGAGTGCTTGCCTTGCATGCATGAGGCTCTGGGTTCGATTCCTCAGCACCGCATAAGCAAAAAGAAAAAAGCTGGAAGTGGTGCTGTGGCTCAATTGGTAGAGCACTAGCCTTGAGCTGAAGAGCTGGGGGACAGCGCCCAGGCCCGGAGTTCAGGCCCCACGACCGGATCCAAAAAAAAGAATCCTTCTCTTTGCTGGAGGTTTGGCACAACTGGAGACTCTTGGCAAGCAGGAGATCAAGTCAAACCAGTACCACACACACACACACACACACACACACACAATTAGGTAGAAAAAATCCTTCCCTTTACCAAAGTTTACAGGCAAATCAGTAGATTTGCTGTGAACAGACATCATTGTGGACCCTACACCAAATAGAATGTATTTCCTCTTAGGTTTTATAAATGAATTCTGACAATATTTTAGACATCTGTGAAAAGCTCTCTTAAATCCTATTCATAGAAGGTGTGTGTATGTGATGTACACATACATGTACACACATCTACACATTCACATACCTCTCACAGCATAAAATTGCCTCCTCACTCAACCAAGGTAAGAACCCAGCATACAAAGGAATAGGATCTGGAAAAGGCTTGATGTATTCTGTACTGAATTTTTATACCTTCCTGCCATCCGGAGCTAGTCATAAAAAAATTACTTTATAATATCAACCCAAATTCACCTGAGGTGCTACAAAGCAAGAGGGGAAACTGTGCAATTTCAAAGTGGAAAATACACTGATACAACTAAACAACTGCAAAGATTATCTCATAGGCTGCCACCTTATCTTTTGAAATTCTTCCTAGGGAATTTGGTGACTCACACTAATCAAAATAAAAAGGAAATGTAAAATCCTCACTTAGTGGTACCATGCACAATTCTGGTCAGACCCATTGCTTATCATGCAACCTCCAGGATGAATCATTTTTTTCTCCTTTTTATTCAAGAGTGACTGGCCTTCTGGATGAGCCCTGTGGAACATACCTTGGCCGCCACAGCAGGTCCCAATGCAGCAGAAGCCTCAGGATGAGAAGAAGTGTTCCCTGCAAGGCCAGTACTACATAGATCCAGCCCAGGAAGCTCATCTCAAAGGGACTCACATAGGAATCGATGCCAAAATTGTGGGTCAGGTCATATTTGATCTGATTGTAGCAGAGTTCTATCAGTCCTTGTCCCAGGCAAAATTGAGGGAAAATAGTGAATACCCACTTGAGCACATTGTAGATGTTCTGTAAATTCTGCATAAAGAAAGAAATTTAAATTAAAAGCTAGTTCCCAATGTTTATGACATCTATGAGTAACTCTTTTTTTCTCCTTGGTTACATGCATACTCTAGGTCTTTCCTAATCCAATTCTCAAAACCCAATGAGCTCAATAGACAGCCATCAGACCAAAGAGGACTGTGCTTGAGATCTAATATCTAATTATATTTAGCTTACAGTGGAGCTATTTTCCTTTTTTTCCCTTTGGAATGGAGTTGTGTATCTTGTCCTGCTTTTGTATTTTAGTAGTATGAGGAACTATGGTTGTGGGTATTTAAGTAACACACAATTCAGGCTGGGTATAGTGGCATGTGCCTCAACTAAATTCCCAGATATCCTGGAGGCAGAGATTGGAAGAATTATGGTTTGAGGCCATATAAACACCAAACCCATTTCCACCAACAAGCTGATATGTCAGATAGATGGGAATCTATGTAGGAAGAGGTTTGTGGTCCAAGCTGCCACATAAAGAAAGAAGAAAAGAGAGAGAAAGAGAGACAGAGGCAGAGATATACAGAAAGAGAAAAAAAGAAGGAAAGAGAGAAGGAAGGAGAGAGAAGGGGGAGGAGAGAGGGAGAAAGGGAGGGGAAGGAAGGAAGGAACGAACGAAGGAAGGAAGGAAGGGTTACCGGTTCATTCTGAGTCCAGAATAAATGCCAAATATATGTAGATATCATTATGAAATGAAGAATACATATGAAAAAGGAAATATAAATGATATAATAATAACATGAAATAAAAACATATACAAAGACATACTGAAACACTGAACACAGTGTTTAAATATATCTGAAATTCCAATATCTGTCATATGTTTTTACTATCTTTGCTACCTGATGAATATTAATTTTTCCATCTGAAAATTATTACAATGTTAATCAATTGTTCACTATGTGCTTTTGGTAAGTTATTATATCCTTCAGCTTCATTGTATTTTTGTCACATTTCATGGTTGTGATAAATATGCAAACTATTAAATATGAACTAAGTTGCCAATGAAAAATAGTCTCAAGAAATTGCTTCATGAGGACAAGCCACACTAGAAGAGCAATGACTTAATTCCAATCTTCTTGTTTCAAAGCCAAGGTGATTCCACTAAGAAATACAGCATTTGGGCGATGTTGTTCTCCTGAACTGAACTATAAAGCAATTAACCCAGAAAGGCCACATTAATAGAATTACCAAAGCAAACCCTGGAAATACCATGATGATTTAGATGTATACTTTATAGTCTTTCCTTTTCTTTAAATTATACACCTGATCAGAATATGAATAATCATATTTTCAGGAAGAGAAATCACCTTAATCTTCACATATAACACACTATTATATGTATTTAATCCTAAATATTAGATATTAAATGTACAAAACCATTCATTCTAATTCTTACTTGATAATGTATAGACTTTTCCATTACAATGTGAATCTAAACTTCACTAGATTAAGTGTATTTTAGTTTGGAGTACAACAGAAAATTTAAATAATAGAATCTACTTTCATCATGTGGTTTGTTGTCTTTTATAAAGAGATAGAAGAAGGTGCTAAAGCTTCATTCAGTCTTCCCTTAGCTTTTCTTTAACTTTCACTAGTTATTCATTTCAATTAGAAGGGTTTGTTAATTCCACTTTATATAAAATATATTCCTGTATCAATTAATGGATCACATAAAAGGGTTTTCTATTATTACTGAAGATATAGCAACAGCAGAATCTTGTACCTTTTAGCTAAGGAACTGATAATTAATGAAATTATGTACTAATGGTGATGACTATATCTCATATTAAGGAATTCATGATGGTCTCTGTATAAGCATGAACACAGACACTTGAGATTTAGGAAAACAAAGGTAATTAGAAGTCTGCACCTATGAAGGGCATATAGCCACACAAGTTCAAGAATAAAAAGAAAAAGAAACTGTGGTTTGTTATTGCTTTTTCTTACTTTCTTTTGTGCCTGAACTGAGGCTTGAACTGAGGGCTTCCTGCACTTACTCATTTTTTTCATTCAGCTGGCACTCTATCGTGCAGAGAATGTTGAAATCAGCCATGCCTCCATTTCTGGTTATTTGGAGATAAAAAAAAAATGCCAGTGCTGATTTCAAACTGTGATTCTCAGATCTAAGCCACCTGAATAGCTGGAATTATAGGCATGAACTACTGCTGTACAACTTAATAATAGTGATTTGTGACTCCACTGACATCCTTCTAGATGCAACAAAGTCTCACCAAGGGGAGAAAGATGATCCAGACCTGTGTTAGGACCCAAAGTGCATTATCTTATTAAGTTTGTAACAATGAAGTCAATCACATTAACACTGCAGGTTGTATGTACAATGGGTAATACTGCTTACACAAGGTTTTAATTCTGACCTGAGAATCCAATTGCCTTCCTAGGCTCTTTCATTAATTGTATAAGAACATGTTTCTCCATATAATTTACAAGTGAATATCAAAGGAGGAAAGGAAAAGAAAGACCTAAGAAAATGCAATAAGATGCCATTTTTATATATTGCCAATTGGCTCTGAAATAAACAAAAAGCAAACATTACTTGTTGATTTTTCTTTTTTTCAGATGAGCAATGCTATTTATTATATACTTAAAGTATAAAAATATAATAAATAAATAACATATAGTAATATGTTTATATATTAAATAAATGTTACATTGTCATGAATAGAAAGGCTCCTAGCTAGTGCGTCTAGTTGATTCTTCTTCCTTTTCTTTTTAGAGCCAAATCTTCTTGGACCTTGTCCTCTAAAGTGGATCCTTTTTCTGACTCCCCGCTCATTGGGATTCTTTACATGGATTGAATTTCTTTTTTTTACCATAGTTCACAACAATCTTGTTTTAAGGAAGTTATAGGCTACTTCTGCTGATTTCAATATTCTCTGCATGTAAATTCAATAAACTGTTCCATAAGCTCTCTATTTAAAGGCCCAGCATAGTCATACAGATTACTGTCAAACTTGACCTATGAAATCACTGGCATAGTTTCTTCCTTTCATTAAATATATAATAGATATTTCCATACTTCATTACATTACACAAGACATAACAATACAAAATACTGACCATCATCTGAGAGTGTACTAAGTCTTCTAAACCTAGCCACAATTAGTGAACCTGACCTAACTGGATGGCTCTCAGTCCCTGTATCATGGTAGATGAGACCAGAAATACATCTTGCAGCTAGGAGCTGTGTCCCTTTGCTGCTCCGCGAGTTTCTCAGACCAGCTTTGTGCATAGAAAGTTCCCAAAAGAACTGCCAAGGAAATGGAGTACAAGTGAACAACAGGGTAATCAGAGGTGATTAAAAAAACAAAGCAGGAATTTAGAAGGACTGAAATAGAGACAGGAGAATGCAGAGTCAGCAGCTTTTTCCTGCTGCTATACAAGGGCATGGCAGAGGGTGGAGGAGTTGAGGGATGATTTAAAGCAGAAGCCAAGAATTGGGACTTCTCAGTTGGGAGAAGAGGGGTGCAAGGAGAATAGCAGGAAGCAAACAGAACATACCTCCAGACAGACTTCAGCTTGACATCAGTGCTTATGCAAGGAGTAGTCTGTCGATGGCGGTGGCCTGTTACAGACAGAAAAATGCTTCCTGGCCAGGCAACACAAGCTTGGAGAAATTCTCTGCTTAAACTCTTGGAAAGAAGTTAAACTGAATTCCTGAGTTCTTTTCAAAGGCCTCAAGCAAAAGGGTAAAACAGCTCAAATCATTCTCTAGTTGTGTTATAGCTCAAGAGCATGATAAGTATTTCTGGTCCATTCTACATTGAAGAATCCAACCCAGTATAAAGTGATATATGGACAGGGCATATTTTATGATATTCATGATTCCAGTACTAATCAGTAGTTCTTTTATTTTTGTCAGTTTGTCACAAAGCCTGGACTTGGCTTTTGGAAACTCTTGGAAGGTTTTTTTTTTTACTTTATTGTTGTTATTGTTGGTTGCAAGGCTTGAACTCAGGGCTTAGGTACTGTCCCTAAGTTCTTTTGCTCAAGGCTTGCACTCTACCACTTTGAACCATAGCTTCCCTGAAACTTTGTGTGTTTATTTTGGTCAGTCATGGGGCTTGAACTCTGGGCCTGGGTGCTATCTCTCAGCTATTCAGCTCAAGGCTAGTGCTCTATCCCTTGAGCCACAGTGCCACTTCTGGTTTTCCTGGTGGCTTATTAGAGATAAGAGTCTCATAGACTTTCCTGCCCAAGCTGTCTCAGCCTCTTGAGTAGCTAGGATTATTGACATTAGCACTGTCATCCAGCTCCCTGGAAGTTTTTTATTAATTAGAATCAACTTTATTTTCATTTTAAGAATGGATACTTTTCTATATCACCAGTGAATTCCAGTAGGCAAAACATAAAATTAGCGTGCATCTAGATATGGCTCATATGTATTGAACCTTTAGTCTCCAGTAGGTGGCGATATTTTAGGAAGTTCTGGAAACTTTGGGAGGTGGGATCTAAATAGAATTGGCTCCTTGTGGGATGTGTCTCCTTGTGGGTTGTATCTGGTCCACAGTTCCTTCTTAACTCTCGGCTTCCTGTCCATCATAAGTCAACAGCCTCCTCTCCACATGCCCCCACCATCATGATGTTTGGCCTTACCCTGGGCCCTAAATCCACAAAAACAAGGATTATGGGATGAAATCTCTGAAACTAAAAGCCAAAGCAAATCTTTCTTCCTTTGTTAATGTCAAGTATCTTGTCCTAGAGCTGAGAAGCAACCTATACCCCGATCTGCCACAGAAATGGGAAGTTAATCTCTACACAACCCCATTCTCCTCTTCTAAAAGGAAACACTGTCACTGACTGACCTGAGCTTTGGAGATGATGGCCAGGAGCCTGGGCATGGTGGTCATCACCATGGTGCACAGACCAAAGATGAAATTCAAAGAGATGTAGGAGATAAAAGCCACATCTGGACTTGAAAATATCCTGGACATCAGATACATCCATGGAAGCATGGCATATCTGAAAAGGAAAATAGAAAATTTTCATATTTATCTTCTTATATTGATCCATATAACAACTGAATTATAGATGTGATTTTATTGGCCTGTGATTTTGTTGTGGTTGTTGTTCTTTACTTAGTGAAAGAAGATCCTATGGTCTTCCACAGACAAAGCACTCTTCTGGTGCCTCTAAGGGCTATTGGGTTAAGCACTGGGTGAAGTTGTGTGCGGAACCTCCTCCAGCTCCATAATCTGTAGAGAGTACCTGACTTCTCCACCATTTCACCTAAAAGGATGCTACTTTACTAATCCACCCTAGTCATGCAGGAATAATGTCTATTTGTTATCTTAAGAATTAAAAACCACAAGAATACAAAAGGCTACAGAGTTCCCTATAACACTGTGTTAAAAATAATTAAAAGTTTAATTTCTAGAATCTATGTGTGTTGAGCTGTATGCTGACAGTTCTGTGGTGTCTCCTCCTCCTCCTTCTCCTCCTCCTCTTCCTCTCCCTCCTTCTCCTCCTCCTCCTCCTGTAGTTCCTTTCTCCTCCTTCTACTTCTCCTTTTTCCTCCTTCTTCTCCACCTCCTCCTCCCAGAAGATAGCACCATAATTTTCCTGTCTCTCAAGTAGAGTAGCTGGCCTGAATGAAATTGAGACTATGATCTCATACCTACAGCTGATCTATAGGTGAAGCTGATCAGGGTCAGCATGTCCCCAAAGGTAGGTAGTAAGGGAGTATTGCCAAATATCAAAAGATAAGACACTGCTCCACATCTCTAAAATAAAACTTTCCACTTTCCTATCTCTCCACAACCGTAGTAACCATTCAGGCTACTTTCTGAAACTGACAGAAAAAAAAAGAGATCATCTTAATGCATTCCAATAAAGGAAACTGACACTTTAAATGATAGTTTCAAAATAAGCAGAGTAATCACAGTCTTTCCCAGGAGACATCTCTCCCTGGAGCCCCTGCATGTTTTCTACTCAGTCAAGGTACAACTGTCACTGTTCCTTAAAATGACTGATGGTTTAACCTGAAATACTTCAGTGCTTCTAAGTGCCTGAGGTTTTCCAAATATGCTAATTAGTTCTGAAAATTAGGAGACTTTGAAATGGGAAAAGAGACGCTAGGGCCTCAAGACAACCATTATTTTAGTATGCTTCCTTTGTGTTATGCAATCTGTGATACTAGAATGTATCCCTGAGTTAAAAGACAAATTCTCTTCTCTGGGGAAAATATTTGGGATATTATACATAAAAATCAAACAGTCTTTCAGAGACTTACTTAACAGCAATCTTCCTCCTAATTTAAGCATGAAAAACATATTATGGAAGACATATTGGAGATGAGTGCTTCAAAGCAATTATTCTAGAGGAATGAAGGGGAAAATGAGGGGAAGAATAGAGTCAAGAATTCACTGGATATACCACAAAATTAAGAAAAGTAAGGGAAGGCATGGATTAAAGGGAGGCGAGCATGTTCAAGGGGGTAACACTGATCAACATGCATTATATTCAAAAACTGCTTCATTAAATGGCACCTTCTTTGTACAACTACCTAAAGATGATAAAAAAGATATTTAAAAAAATAAAATGACTACTCTAAAGAAAATTAAATTGGACAAAAGTAATAACTACAAAAATGGTAAGTCATAACTTCGTGATGCTTTAAATTGCCATTAGTTCTGTCTCAACTCTACCCATATACATTGCTTTCTTCTTCAATTCCCTCTGGAGCCAAACTCTAGGTGTTACCCTCTGTCATGGAGTTGCTCTGAGAATCAAATGAAATCATAGCATTGAAGGTATTTCTGGGCTGGAGGTTTGGCTAAAGTGGTAGAGCACCTGCCTAGCAAGCATTCGTTCCTGAGTTCAAACACCAGTACTACCAAGAAACTCTATTTCTGCATCTGAAATTTAAGCTGTAGTAGAAGCTGATGAGGCAAATCTGGGGCTAGATTTAATTGGTATAAAATTTATTCTGGGAGTGACTTCTGGAAAGGGTGACATTAAGATGAATTTTATTCATAAATTGACATGTTGAGGTTTCAATTGATACTTAAAACAACAACAACAATAACCCTATATTGTGGAATAATACATAACAAATATCTTCTCTTTTCCAAAAGATGGCCTTTTGTAGCCAAAAATAGCCATCTTGGTTTACTTAAGCCTATACTACAAAATATTGAGTGTTCTGTTTTTCCCTGTGTGACACGAATCCAACCAGCTCTGTGGGTTAAAGTTGGCAATGTGGGTGCCAGGAAGTTTGGGAAGTGGTACCTCATGGAATATCTGATGTGTCATATCACAAAGCACAGCCAGATTATAAACAACTTTGATGAACCCCTCTGTCCAACAACACAGTCTCACCATGCCTGCCTTTCTGTCAGACCTGCATCCCTCTATTTGTACTTGAGGGACTAATTACCACTTTGCCCCTAGTCTCTGCATCACTGGAGATTGCTATGAATCTGTACTTTGTTACACTTTACATAAGGCTTCTATACTGGGGATGTCCTTTCAATATTTGGCAGGCAGATCAAAGCATTGTTCAAGAAAAAAAGAATCAGAGATAAAGAGACAATCTTAAATGATGCCCTTGAGGAATTCTTGTCACTACATTAAGGAACCCCTTTTCAACTTCCTTTTCCTGGCTATGATACCATGTTTTGTATTTAACTACATTTTCATTAGATAACTTTCAAATACTTGATTGCAATGAACATATAGTTTCAGTTCCCCTCCTGTCTTCTTCATTTTTGAGGGAAAAAATTGATTTGTAGACTTTAATGTACTTTTTTAAAGGGATGTTTAATTCTCTCCACTCTTTTATAAAGGTATATCACCATGCTGTAGTGGCTCACATCTGTAAAATGAGTTATTCAAGATTACAGTACAAAGCCAACATGAGCAGGTCAGCTGGTGAGACTTCATCTCCAACTAAACAACAAAAACCTGGGCTGGAGACATGGCTTAAATGGTATAGCTCCAGTTGTGAGCAAGAAAGCCGACAAAAGCATGGAACTCTCAGATCCTGATTCAAGACACAGTATTCACACACACACACACACACACACACACACACACACACACACACACAAAGACAAACTGTAATGTTTTTCTATAAATTGGTATACTATTTTCAAGTATTCTGTAATTTATGGGAAGACATATTATTCTCCTCTTCAAAATTGGTCCCTTGCCTACATTGTGTGAATTTCTTAAAATGCCTCCTAAAATTCCAAACAGGCTGCTGTGACTTCATTTTCTCAATCATATAGCAAAAATATATATCAAATATGTTTTTAGGTTTTGAATTTTTAATATAAGCTAAATTGCCTTTTCTTTCAGATTTTTTGGTATTCTTTTCCTCCATCTTTCTTTTAAGTTTCATTCTGTAAGCCAGGCTGAGCCTAGACTAAACTTTCAATCTTCCTGCCTGAATCACCACATCCAGGCTGTAGCTTCTTATTATAATGTTGATTTTTTTGCCTCACTGGTATAGTTTAGCTGTCCAAAACTCCCACACTAGAGAAAAAAATATATTATTACCAGACATTTGTGTGTGTGTGTGTGTGTGTGTTATTTCCTCTGAGAACCTGTTCACTGATCCCATCACTTCATTTCCAGATTTCAATTCAATAAATGGCTTGTTTCATACTCGAGTATGTTCTTAGATTTCACTTCACTCAGAGATTCAGCCTTCCTGAGATCTTTCTTGGGTTACAGGTGCCTAAAGTGACCCAATTCTGATGCTTTCACCCAGAGAAGGCCATGGTACAGAGGAAATACAGCTGCCTGGACTTGGCTTCACTTAGAGTGAAAGAGAGGTCATTGGGGCTACAGGTCCAATGGCTCTACTTCAAAGATGAAATGATGACCATTTAAACCTTAATTAGTCCATGACCCTAGCTGTCATACTACAACCTTCTTTTGGAGCTTTTTTGTTGGTGTTAGCACTGATTCAAATACAGTGTGTGTTACTTTGTTTCTCAGAATCCCCTTAACAAAGAATTTTTATCAGAAAGTATGTGGGTCTTGTTGGCCAAGGGTTGTACACTAACAGACCTAGATCTCCAGATGCTCCAGAAATTCTTTTAAAAAGTGTTTTATGTACAAAAGGATGATTCTGAACTTGATACAAGTTCTTAAAGGGATTTACAATGAGCTCAGGATTAAGAAAATTTTCTAATAACGTGTTTTAAGAGTTTCTAACCATTTGACTTTATCTAAATCGTATCTTAATTGTTGACGTCTGCTCCTATAAATTCAAACATAATTTTATGGCAAAGTCTATTTTACTCGCACTGTGATAAGACTTAACAGCGCTATCGACTCTCATGGGATCAATAAACTGAAATCAGGCAACTCCAACCAGGTACACATACATATAGATCTCTACATGTGGGCTCACAAATTTCAAATTGACTATAATAAACATGTTTGCTAAATGCATGTTATAGACATGACCTCATAATACACTCTAAATAGGAAAATAATTTTGAGAATATCAATATTTAGCTAAAATTGCTATAGTTAGACTTGTTACATGATATTTGCATAAAAATCTGATTTCAAACTTCCATAGAAATAAAATAGAGTGGTAGAGGGATTAAACTGAGATTTCAAGAAGAAAATTAATATCACCACAGTCACAGAGTTAGTAAGAGTCTCAATATTCCTGAAAAAGGAAGTTTTTCTTTTTTCATGTCTCCTTTCTACATCTTTTACCCACCCATACATTCATCCATCTGTTCATCCACTCATCAGCCATTCATCCATCAGGTCACTCATCTTTTATTCACCTGATAATGATGTATATTTCTTTAAGTAAAATTCTATCTTGTAATAAGATATCTTTCATATTCCCGGATCACTGATATTTTAACAAAGTGTGTACTCAACACTTTGTTTACAATATTTAGTTGAAATGAAAGCTGAATGTGTTATTCTTAAAATTTATTCAATTTCAATAATTTAGTGCATCCATTATTTTCCCCAGAAAGTCTTTCTTATGTATTTAGTCTATATGCAATCATATGTACCTACTCTCTACAGCCCATAGATTTTTGATATCAGAGAAGAATAATTTAGGGACTTCTGGGAGTAATCCTAATTAGTGTGTTGAAATCAGAAATTTGTATGCTGACATTCTAGTTCTGCTGGTTTTCCTCTGCAGAGAAAAAGAGAAGAAATGTATGGAATTCAGATAAAATGCTTCCAAACTACTAATACTATAAGAGAGGAAAAATTATGCCAGACAGAATTTCAAGAGGGAATCCCTGCAAATGTAATTTCAGAGCTAAGTGGATTATATATTTGAGCCCATGATTAATGTCAGAGTGAGAAAAACTGAGAGTCCATTTTGCCTTGCACAATCTTGTCGGGGAGCCTGAGGGCCTTTCTAAGACAGGGCCAATACCATCTTCATTATAACCATGTCCACTGTTCCTTCTTACACAGGGCATTCATCATCTCCCTCAAGCTTGTTTGTTCAATGTCTCTTGTAGAAGGAACATAATTGCTTGAGAAGAGAGAAAATCATGAAGCCGACAGCAGGTTCAAAGCCATCCTAAGGGTTTTTCACTTGCAGAAAACAAACCATAATTCTGCGGCAGTGTTTCTCATCACATACCCGAAAAGTATCAGCAGGAGGGCCGTGGCCACCAAGTTCTCACGGAAAGTAAAAGCTGTTAACTGGAAGGCAGCAATAATGGCAACACACAGGGAGACAGAAACCAAGTAAAAGAGCTGAGAAAATAAAAAGGAACATGTTGCATCAGAGTGTAATATATTTATCTACTTACCTCAGAGTCCACATTCAATTCCTATGTAAGCATAGCTCCTACTTTTCACATTAGAATTTGTTTTGGAATAGAATTCATCCTGGATAGTCACTCTTCTGGACTGACTTGTGTTCTCCCAAAATTCTAAGGCTGAACACCAATAACTTCAGAAATAGGACTTTATTTGGGCACAGGAGCTTTAAAGAAGTAATTAAGTTCAACTGAGACCTTCAAGGTAGAGTCTAACCATGCATGAGTGTGCTCTTACAACAAGAGGAAATCAAGGGACAGCATCTAGGGCCTTTCCTGGGGCTCTCATGTATCCTTCTCTCCCTTGCTTTAGTGCCTCTGCCTACAGAGCCCTTTCTCAGTGCCATTCATGTGGCTCATCTCCTCTCCCTTATAGATCTCAGCTAAAATTCCAATTCCTTGTTTGATTCCCCAATTTAATGTTACCCTCCACCTCACTGTTGTCTTAAACTCTTTCAATAGCCACGAGTTAACTGTATGTGTCCCATTCATTCATTCTTTATTTATTTATTTATGCTTCTTCCTATAAGACTATACTATTTATTAGGGGAGAGATCTTCTGACTTATTCAGAGCTTTCAGACCAAGATTTCTGTCCATTGAACGCTGACATAGAACAACAGCCTGCCTGACTTTTAAAGCAATACAAATTTGTGTTTACAGTCCTGGATATTGAGGGGCATGGCACCAGCATAGCTGGTATATCAGCGAGCCTACTTTCTTGTTCCTAGATGAGGCATTCTGTATGTTTACCTCTGATGAAAGGAGCTAATGTGCTCTCTGGGGTTCCTTTTATAAAGGCATTAATCCACTCACTAGGTCTCCACCTTCATGCCCTCATCACTTCCCAGAGACCCCCACCTGCCAATAGCATTATGAGGGAATTAGGTTTGAACATGGAGTTCTCATGGAATACAAACATTTGGTCTTTGACAACATTGGGCAAACTTTGAACAATAACAGATTCTCAAAAATATTCATTTGATGGGTCATTTAATAAAAAAAAGGCAGGGAACAATTGAATAACAGTAGAAAAGTCAACCAATAATCATCTATGCTCTTAAACTCCAGTTTGAAGGGCCACATTTAGTGCAAGAGATAAAGAGATGACAAGTGAAGTATGCGGTAAACAGGGAAATCACACAGTTTTGAAACCTTGGCATGCTTTATGGTGTCCTGGACATAATGATCTGTGTGTGCTGTTACTGTTTCTTGGTGCATCTCTCCTTTGGCCTGGGGCTGGTATGGCCATTAGATATCACTAAATTTCATATGCTGGAGGGGAAGAGGCTTAGGGCTTACAGCCCTGGGTGAAGAACTAGATGGAGAACTGAACAGGAAGACCCGGCTGGCCCTGAATTCTACAAGTCTAATCTCAGATGGGATTCTTGCATCCCTTTGTAAACACAAGGGGCTTGATGGCCAGCATTGTTCAGTCTTGCCTGAGAGTCCTAAGTTGCCTTGGATACTGATCAACCAGACCTCAGAGTCCCATCTAGATCTACCGAACACAATCTTGAAAGCACATCCTTGGGACTCTTCACTGCTAGTAAACATCCCAGGCAGTTATTGTCACTGCATAGTTTTGCAAAACCTTGACTCAACTCAGGGAATTCCTGGAATGATGAGATAACTTAGGTACAGACCACACAAACTGTACTCTAAAATATATATATACATTGCATGATCAAAAGGAAATCAATCAACTGAACTCTATGCTACCTCAAAAGAATAAACATTAATGAATAGCAACAGGGCCTTACATCAGATTCTGCACAAAATAACCATGTTGACACAGAAGCTGACATGTGGTTGAGTATTCAGTCAGTAAGTCTTAGCCCTGTGCTGCCTTCCATTGACCTAAGGTCTACTATAGTGGGGAAATAAATACAGTCCTTTGAAGAGCACCCTACCATGGTAAGTAGTTGTAGGCATGCAGAGGACATATCATTTGTAATTAAATTTTTTTAATAGATATACAAAGGAGATGCCGTTTATCAAAGCAGTTTATGAATATAATATATCTTGATTAATGTCACCCCTCTCAATGTTTTTACCCATCCCTCCCCTACCAACCCTTTCCTTCATTCTTCTTAATTTTGTAGAATAGACATTGGATTCTTGATAGCATTCTCTCCCTCTTCTCCTCTTTAGTCATCTGGCCTTTCCTCTCGACTCCACCCCACTCCTTTTGTGGACCCATTTCCTGATACTTTGATTATCTTACCTTTCATAAATGTTCAGTAAAGGTGGTTATTCATTCCCCTGGAAAAGAAACTTTGCATTTCTAAGTCCCTGATTTCTCAGATCTCCAGCGTGAGACTCCCAGATCTTATCCTTATGAAACGACCGTAAATGATGGCTAGTGATCAGAAGACATGATTTTTCTGACACGATCATGGACACAGTAGTAGCCTTTTATTACAGGGAGTCCAGGATGGCCCGGGCCCTCCCTCCCTTCACCTCACGTACACACATGGATCACATTCCTAAATCCTACCATGTCATAGAAGAAGTTGGTGAACCAGTATGTCCTGTAACCAAGTCCACTTATGTGCTGCAACCTTTTGGCTCCGGTCACCCTGTCCCTCACCACAGAACTGCCAAATGAAGCAGACAAGATAGAGAATCCCAGCACAATGCAGAGGGCAACTCCACACTGACGGATGCTCTCCAGGCTGTGGGCAAAACAGAACAGTGGATTAGGTGTCAAGGAAGAACTCAGATCTTCTTTCTGTTACTAACAATTGAGGGTGGAATATGGGATAAGTGTGTGTATTTTTTTCATGACTCTCCTCAACTGCCTTTGGACACACTGGTGTTCAGAGTGTACAGGAGATATAACCAAAGAGCTAGATACTGATGGGCATTTCCGTGTCTTCCATTTCAAAGTCTGTTCTTTGCACTGAGCCTAACTCCTAGTTAAAATAAAGGACATCTCTCAAATGATATCTTTGAAAGACCATGGCTCTGTCTGTGTTGGGATAAATTTTTTATTCAGCAAAACATGCTAGGTAGAAATGTACATTGCAATATCACACCTCACTAGTCTATCACCAATCCCAGCCATCAAAATACTAAAAAGAGTTTGTACATGATCGAGATGTTACTATAATAATGTACATTCACTCCCTAAGATGTATTTTTAACTGCAGAATGTCAGGTGATCCATTGCTCACAGTGCCCTCTTCCCATTTCTGATAACCGTGAGGCACAGAGGTCTGACAGGATGAATAGTCTCATCACAGAGCATCTATTGGATCATGCCTTTGTTTCCATCATGCATTGTTTTATACTGTAGCTTGTACCAAGGCAATGAGAGCTAACACCTAATTCCATATCCATTTCCACCACCTTAGTCTATCTGGGCCTTGAGCAAAGTATTGAGTTAGGATTTCCAAGGAGGCCCCGCTATGTGCTACAAACCTGGTATTCACCCAGAATATTGTCATGGGCACATTGAACTCATCCTCCAGTGACAAATTCTAGTTAGAAGTATAGGTACCTGATGTCCTCATCCATTTTGAAAGTCAATGTGCTTCCGACCCCCCTTTACTTGTGTGCTGGTCCAGGAGCTGAAATCATGGCCTGAGCACTCTCCCTGAGCTTTGGTGCTCACAGCCAGCACTCCACTTCCAGCTTAATTTTGGGGATACAGGTCTCACCAACTTCCCTGCACAGGCTGTCTTCAAACCTCCATCCGCAGGTCTCAGCCTCCTGAGTACCTAGGATTACAGGTGTGAGAGGCTGGTGCTGAGCTGTGTTTTCCTGTTGAATAATCATTGTTTCTCCACCTTGCACAGAAATGCCAAAGTTCTGTGTCACTAGCTACCTATTGCAATGTTTCTCCTGACAAATGACAAAGAGGGATCAAAATCACCCCTGTAGGACTCAAAGATAGTCTTCCATGTTGAGGGGTCCTGCCCAGCATTCCTTCAACTCACATCTTGTCTTCATTCAGCAAGGTCCCTCCATATGGGTGGCTATAGAGTGTTATGCCTGTGAACATGAACAACAATTACAACATGAATCTTGAGCTGTCTCTTGCCTGATGGGTCACAGCTCTCCTCCAAGCCATTCAATTCACTAGACATGAGATATCTCTTGTTGCCATTCATGAGTCCATTAGTAACAACAAAAGGAAATTCCACCTTGCCATACAGCTAGGCTGAGACTTTTGCTATTATTACTGTGGTCAAACATAGACAAGCAGGCATTTTGCATGCACTATGTGGCAAACGTTTTACCATGCTTTATTATCAATTGTTACATGTATCTCAGTGCTCTGAGTAAAACATCAGTCATAGTCTACCATGAGTAAACAGATGAAGGCTAAATAACAATATCATTTCCTAGACACAAGATCAACATTGCATTCCCCTCCAGATTATGCCAGGCTTAGTCCAAGAAAACAGGACTGTTTCCGTGGGCCATTTTTGGCTGTGGAGTTGTTTTGCTTTGCTTTGTTTACTTCATTGGGCTTGTACATTAGTGTAACACCAGCAGCCAATATGGAGAAATTGCCAATGAGTTATCAACTAAATGGATTTCATTATGAAGGCAACACACAGTATCGCAGCATGTCTCTTCCTACAGCAAATCGCAGTCCTTAATGTATGAAAAACTCCTCAACTTCAAGAAAATGATTTGTGTTTTATCTTCAAGACACTGTGCTGTGAGAGTAATTAAGTTTCTTTTTTCTAAAATGTTTTTTTTCAAATATATGGAGATAAATGTGGAGCTTGTATATAGAGGACAATGCAATAGCACAAAATACTTGCATCATTTCATGTTGACATATTTTTCTTTTCCTTTTGATTCACTTCAAATTCATACTATCATCTGTATTTTGCATTCCCTTATGAGGGCACATTAAATATTTACTGAGCCACCACAGGATAGAAATAAATATAAATAAACTAAAAGTACAGTGTTAAAACAGAGCACAGTACTCCAAACCCCTAACCATTTTTCCTAAATGTCTTGACTTCTCTCCATTTTCCTCTCTAACTATACCAACTTTTTCTTAAATTTTCTTCTATCCTGAGCTCAGCCATACAGCAATGCAAGCTGTGGCTCATTGCAGAAAGAACCATGAGGACTCTTTGTTCAGCAAGTCTCTTGTACAGTTTTCCAAAACATTTTCTTTGTCTAGATATTCTTACTTTTAAAAGATTCTAAAGGAATTCATATTTTTAATTTAATTGTACTGTCAAGGTGATGCACAGAAGGGTTACAGTTATATACATATGATTGTATGTCCCTCCCCCACAGTATAACCCCTGCTTTCACTATATTTGATGTCAGTATAACTTGTGGAGGAGAGGGGGAAAAAACAGTTGTTTAAGGATACAGGTGGACCTGATGCAACAACGAGAAGTATAAGTTGTCATGTCCAAAACGAGCTTTACAACATCGGTGGGGGGGGGAAGGGGAGGGAGGAGAAGGGTTGGGATTGGGGGGGAGGGGGGAGGCTGGGAAGGGATGTGAAGGGTAAACCAAAGGAGGAGGCTGCAATGCTTGGTAAGAAATGTACGCATTATCCTGCCCATGTAATTGTAACCCCTCTGTACAGTATGTTCGCAAATAAAAAATAAATAAATAAATAAATAAAAAAGAAATGAAAGAAAAAAAAAGATTGTAAGTAAGCCGGGCGCCGGTGGCTCACGCCTGTAATCCTAGCTACTCAGGAGGCTGAGATCTGAGAATCGAGGTTCAAAGCCAGCCCGGGCAGGAAAGACTGTGAAACTCCTATCTCCAATAAACCACTAGAAAACCGGAAGTGGCGCTGTGGCTCAAGTGGTAGAGCGCTCGCCTTGAGCTGAAGAGCTGAGGGACAGCGCCCAGGCCCAGAGTTCAAGCCCCATGACCGACAAAAAAAAAAATAAGATTGTAAGTACATGTCTTGTGGAACTTGTTACTCTCTCCCTCGTATTTCTCCCACTTTCCCTCCCTCCCAACCATACCAAGCTGCACAGTTCATTTCCAACATATTGTCTTGTGAGTATCCTGTTGCATTGGTTCGCCCTTTGACCTTTGTTTCACCATTTTGTTGTTCCCTTTCCCTTCCTTAATTCAGATAAACATATGGGAATGTGGCTCAGAGGTAGAGTGCTTGGCTAGCATGCATGAAGTCCCAGGTTTGATTCCTCAGTACCACAGAAAAAGCTGGAAGTGGCACTGTGGCTCAAGTGGTAGAATGCTAGCCTTGAACAAAAAGAAGCTCGGGGACAGCACCCAGGCCCTGTGTTCAAGCCTCAGGGCTGGAAAACAAAAACAAAAACTGCTTTGTCTAGATATTCAGTGGCCAGCTCTCTACATGGCATGTGGGTCTAATGACTGCTGTGTGGTTTCTTAGATCCTGGATTTGACTTACAGCTTCCTTATAAACTAAAGTACATGGAGTTGACACTGCCTGTCTGCACCAACAAGACCTCTCCTGAATTTCTTTCATCGCATCTGATAGCAACTACTCTTCCTGTCTATAGTGTTGAGTGTCAGGCAGCCAGAGACTCACTGGATGGGATGTCTTAAATTGACCAGTCCCACCACATGACCTGACCTTAGACAGCACTTGCAAAGCATGAGTTCCTTCGATGCATGGCAGGTGCCGCTTACAGGTTAGTGGAAATACATTTACACAGATTCTATCCGTGAAAAGAAATATCATATTTTTTGTCTGTTGTGGGGCTTGAACTCTGGACCTTGGCACTGTCCCTGTGCTCTTCAGCTCAAGGCAAGCACTCTACCACTTGAGCTACAGCGCAGCTTCTGGTTCTCTGGTGGTTAATGGGAGATAAGAGTTTCCTGCCCAAGCTGGCTTTGAACCGAGATCTTTAGATCTCAGCCTCCTGAGTAGTTAGGATTACAGGTGTGAGCCACCAGTGCCCAGCTAAAAGAAACATTCTTGATTAGAGAAAAGCCCAAAATGTATTAAGAACAAAAGAGACTACTGAAATTGTTAACCCTGAACACACACATACACACACACACACACACACACACTAAAACACATGACTATATGACTAGCGGATTTAAACTTGGGGTCAGTTGAACTTCTCAGAAGCAATGAGAGCTGGCTATGGAATTCAGCCACCTAACCAAAGGCTAATTTAATCATAATGAAACCACAGTAAACCTCTGGAAACAGACTCCTGAGAGCATGTGGTTGGTAAATAGCTGTATGTCCTGGTTCTCTGAGTAGAGGGAATAGAAGCTGGCCTCTGCTCATACTAGAGATTATTTATGCTCTCTATTTAACTGGCCATCCTAAATTGTATCTTTAAAATACAAGTGTAACAGTAAGCATAGTGTCTTTCTGAACTCTGACTTATTGTAGCAAATCTTCAAACCTGATGAGATCACAGGAACTGTGAACTTTATAGCTAGTCAGCTATAAAGATGGCACCAGGCCGCTCAAAGTGGAGCAGAACAAAGGGCCCTCCTATCTGAGACCAGGCCCTTTGGTCTTAACAGGCATAAGTGTGTAAACCATTGGTTATATGTGAGTTCCATATCTGGCCCTCTGTCTTCCCAGAGGTTAGATGCCTCAAAATTTCTTTCCAATGTTAAACACATATGCTTTATTATATTCCTTGACCCTGCCTCCTTGGGCCAAGTTCTCCTTTCAAAGCATTATTGGCTTGGGATAGTGGGGCCAGTGTTAACTCCAAATGATCAGTGGGTGGCACAAAATGGCAGTAAAGCCAACTAGGGATGAGACAGAGCATACTCCACTACTAGATGCTTCTTAAGTAGCAGAAATCTGGGCATGGCATGAAGCCTTTTCCTGGGCTGTCTGTGCCCCCTCCCAACTCTTTGATCCCTTTTGTCTAGCCTCCTTTGATGATCATTTCCTTCCCATACCCCTAACACATGGCAGGTTCAAGAAATCCTCCCACCCCACAAAAATCAAAAAGCACCTCAGGCTAGGCTCTCAGCTTCCTCACTGATCATCCTCATCATCCTTCCAATTAGCCAGACCCCTAAACCAAGGCTCTCTCATGTCTCTTACTGTTCCTCACCCCCACATGCTCAAGAACTTCCCAAGTCCTGTCATTTCCTCCAGAGCCACACTGTGATTTTTTTGTGTCAGCCTCCTGCCAAACAGCCCTAACACACTGCCTCTCAGCCTGCCCGCTGCCTTCCACACCCTCAATAGCCTAGATAGCTCCTAAAAGGAAGTAGATATTAAAACAGAGCATTCATAGTCATTGTCTCGACACAGATGCTCTTCAAAATAAAGTCCTAAACTCTCCCTTTATTCTCTTATTTCACCGGTCTGATTTGGAAAATTGAATTTCTACCCTTTTCCTTAACCCATAACCACAGGCATATTTCACCTCTTTCTTATAGTTCTTTGTCCATCCCCCAGAGACTTCTTACTCCCATTGCATGTCAATTTGATGAATTAAATTTCCTTTCCTTGAAATTATTATTGCTCTGACATGCTTTAGTGAGATATAGCTGACGAATTAAAAATGTGTGAAGACTGCCCCTGACTTATAATGGTTTGAATTATGATTTTCAAGCTTATGACAGTCCCAAACCAACACACACACTGTAGAATTCAAACCTCCTATTTGAATTTCAATCTTTTCCAAGTCTACTAATACACATTACTGTACTCCCATGATGCCGGGCAGAATATTGAACTGCTGCACCCAGACAGCCATGTAATCAATTTTCCATAGAGCACCACACTGCAAAGCTGAGCAGGGAAGCTGTGTCCCATGAATTGCCCTCTTCAAAGACTTTTACCCTGCAAAGAGTTCACCAGCACAGCAACCCATCATTAAAAATCAAGGGATAGGGGCTGGGAAGGTGGCTCAGTGGTAGAGTGCTTGCCTTGCATGCATGAGGCCCTGGGTTTGATTCCTCAGCACCACATAAGCAAAAAGAAATAAGCCGGAAGTGGCGCTGTGGCTCAAATGGTAGAGCACTAGCCTTGAGCTGAAGAGCTGAGGGACAGCACCCAGGCCCAGAGTTCGGCCCCACAA